TCCTTACATTTATTTATTCTACCTCGACCACCGTCTACCTCCATGACACCAGTGGTAGCGGACATCGGGGAGCAGTGGGGAAATTTTCCCAATCGTTTGACAGGTCTAATATTGTGACCTAAAAACACAAGTTTGACCATACTAAGCCATAACAACTCTCCTAGTGAACCCTAACGTGGATGTTTTTCGGGACCCCGACAGAGGCTCCAGCAACAACAGAGAAGGATCTATCCCCATAGGTTTTCAAACAACCAGAAGTGGTTGAACTAGATGATGTCTATATGAATTAACTAAGTAGGTATACATTCTGCAGCTATTATTTCCAATAACAAAAGTATGATTATAATATTTAACGTCTATGTATATTTCTTTCAGAATGTAAAGATGAATTCCTCGACAGTTGTTACGTTTATATCTCAGTAAAGAAGTCATTTAACAAACAGGTTTCCATTTGTCAAAATGCTGGAGGATCATTGGTAGACATTCACAGTCGGGAAGAGAATAATTTTTTGAGAAACACGTTTCTGAAATCCAGACAATATCTGTATGCAGGACTGCGATATAGGTTAAACAGTGGATGGAAATGGGAGAATGGACAGGGAATTGACTTCAAAAGTGCGTCAATTAATTATCTTCTTAGCTAATGCTGAACATAGGCCTAAGTGTGCAATACAATTACAGCAGGCTGTGTAAAATATAGACAATCCGAACCCAAAGTACTTTCATGATGTGTATGCACTTTAAATGTACTCCGTGAGCCTGAGAGTGCATTTCAATACTGCAAGTTGTGTACAGTAAAATATGAAAATATTTTTGCTGGCCCGACCAACAACAAAAATCCATGGTTGGGATTCAACATACGTGCATTATGTTTGAAAAGCCACTTTTCCAAGCATTTAATTTAATTCTTGAGTGTAGCCCATTGGCATTGTACCGTCAGATTCACCTAAAGTTAGAAAAAATCCTGACTGAGCGACCTTCAGGTCTAAACCCTTACCCACATAGTAGACCACCAGATCAAGTAAACGCTAATACTGTATTAACAATGACCACAACCAAGTCATCACCAATTCCACTGTGTGGTGGTTTTTGGTTATTACTGTTACTCCTGTTAGCAGCGTGGGGTGGGGGTGGGGGGCGCAGGGAAAATTTTCCCCGGATAATTTTCTTGCCCTCCCCCCAGTTACCTTCCCGGAAAAAAAAAGAAGAAAAACCACAATTCGTAGGGGAGAAAAATAATGATATAAATTTTCTACATAGGCTTATTAGTAGACTATATCTTTAAAATTGATTAAATAAGCATCTGAACCCCTAAACTGTTATATTTTTACAATGCCTCTCACTTGCACCCCCCCCCCCCATGTTTCAGGCCACTACTGCCTGCTGGTGTTGTTTAAAGGAACCTGGTACATTCCTCCTCCTTGTTGTTGATCACACTGGAAACGCCAGCGGCCCCTCTGCCCACAGGCCAAACAGGAGATGTTTTCGGGTTGCGACGTCATAAAAATTTAAGCAACGTAAATTGTTCCCTCTGAAGCGGAAGAGGACATTCTCTTTAAAGCTGCTGCTTCATCCTCTTTGTCTTCCTAGCCCTAACCTGGGTATTTCAAATTCTCACTTGCCCTCGCTATCGCTGTCTTTTAGACAAAAAGCTAGAACCTCTGAATAGACCTTTCCGGAGTGTCAAACAACTGACCAATCAGAACAGGGCCAGGAATACGCAAGCGTTTAACAAGCACGCGTGTTGTCCAAAAATGCGTATGTTTTAACACAGTCGTTTTGTGGGACTTCAGCAACAATATCCAAAAGGCGGGGCTTCAATTCAATTCAATTCAAAATAAATTTATTCCAAATCTTTTCAAAGCAAAGGTTAAACAGTACAGATATAAAATGGAAATGGAAAGGGCAACCACAAAAAAGCAGAGCTTTACACTTGTGGCACCCGAGCTGGGGGCTTAGCTGAATTGTCCACTGAATTCAGACTTCCCAAGAATATAATAATTCTCTTCTATTGCATTTTCACAATGTCAGCAATATCCTCTTGCGACAACGTGCCTACTGAATCTTGAATCATTATAACGGCGAAAAAATATGAAACATACAAAATTTGGCAGCAGATCACAGTGGTGGAATCAGTTAAGTGATTTACATTACAGTATCTTGACCACACTTCTGCTAGTAAAATACACTGCCAGAACAATGGGATTGCATTTGGTTTGGTTGTTATCAGCCTATCTCACTTTTGGTGGGAACCACTCAAAACCAACACCAGAATTGTGAGCTGTCGTGACAAAATGAGTCTTGTGGTACGCCGGGTCAATTTGTTATTATTCAAGAAAATATAGGCCTATCTGAAGCGATATTTTGACAATTTTTCTGTTAAGTTTAATAGGCTATGTATATTTCATAGTAGCAAAAGTTCCGAGTTGAGTTACCTAATGTAATTCCGTTTTGAGGCACATTTTGTAAAACCATTTTCCAAAATTAATAAGAAAACCAAAGCAAAATTTAGCAGTTTGTTTTTTTTTTATCTTTAGAGGCGATTTTCTCTTAAGTATGTTTTTAGACATCTGAACTTTAAAATGATCTTACTCCGGTTTTAATCAACCTAGGAACGTGATTAAAAAACCAAAATAAAGCTTATATATTCATCTATCTTATTATCTTAATAATCTCAATAACTCATTTTTCACTTTTCGTACCACAAGAATTATTTTGTCACGACAGCTCACAATTGTTTTGGTCGTATGAGCCCGGCTTCTGGATGAATCCACTCAAATAAAAATCTAGTTATGAAAACACAAGAGGACACGGAAATAGGGAAAAGGGTGGCGCAGCAAGTACTATCGGGAAAAAGTAACTGATGGATTAAAAAAACTAATTGAATAGGCATTGTTCCATTTCAGAATGGGCTTCGTCACAACCAATGGAATACACCAATGGCGAATCATGTGTTGCACTAAAACCAAATGGAAAATGGATGGACTATAACTGCAATACTAAGCTTCGGACTATCTGCGAATTCGGTAGGAGGAAGAAAAACATTTACATACCTATATTTTATGTATAACCAAAGAGTATAGAATTGCAAAAGATCCGACTGCCATGATTTTGCATGCACGCAATGAAACGAAAAACAAAGTATTGTACTACCACGAGATAAGGGCACCCTATTATAATTCGAATACAGTTCGAAACTCGAACATGCGAACGCCTTTGGAAGGACGCCCTCTAGTTTGTGGTAGTACTTTTTGAGATACGATAGATTAAATAACAGAAAAAATTTCATCTGGAAATAAGATTTGCCTTTCACCTCTTGCAGTCAAAATTTTTTGGGAAAACTGTAGGCCTACCTCTGTCTACATGCAGATGAACAAGGAACAGACGCAAAATGTTCTCAGTAATAGTATTACAGAGGGCGCTGTATGTAAGCCTAAACTAAATAATATTCGCTTGTGATTATTATTAGACCCTATTTCTAAATTTCGAATGTTTTCCAGTAATCATTAAAAGTCTACATGCTAATAGCATATCAATATAGATATGTTAATAACATCAGTTCGAAGAAACTGTTGTACTTACGACATCTTGAAAACTACAACATTTAACAACTACATGATGTTCTCTAAAATTATAACAGGCTTTTCTTGAGAATCTGTGGCTATTTTTACACACAATTCTCCAGGCAGTTACGCAGCGCAATAATCTGTTAAGTAAGGGAAGTCTGTGGTAGCATACAACGAACTCGCACCGTAACCAATGACGATTTTTGTAACAAACCCAACTTAAAACAAAGAAGAAAGAGAATAGGAATATGGAAACAAAAGAAACCAACAATTTAGTGCAATACTGTTTTCCTTTGGCATTCCATAGTTTACAATACTAGTGTATGGTGTACAAAAATGGTTTATGAAAATTTGTTCAACTTCAAGTATGGTGTACAAAAATAGAGTCATATTGTGTAAAACTGCCGATTTTAACGAAGATGTTTTATTTTTCTTTCAGATATTGGTAGTTAGAACTGAAATGGTGCCATTTAAAAATATATATATTTCTTTATATTACATTATTTAGAAGATTGAACTTTCAAAACATTGTCTCGATATTATTTCGGTGTTTGTAAACCATGATGAACTTTTTGAAATATTTTATAGTACAGTATAATATAGTATATACTATTTATAGCCTAAGTATTTAACCTTTTTAAGCTGGGGGTCAGTTCCAGACTGTTGAGATCAGTGGCGGGCAGACATAAATTGTGTGCTTCCACTTTTTTCTGTCAGCCCCACACATTTTCTTTTATAGCGGTGGATAATTATGATTATGGCACCTCTAGATGGACGGAAATGGCACTCAGACTAAAATGTGAATATACAGTAATTTTCTTTTCTTCTCCATTTTAGTTTAGAATATAAAAAAATAAGCCTCTCACCAGTTGTTGGGGCTGAGGTGAGCACATTTTTAACATAGATACCTCTAGATTCCTGGAAATGGCACTTTCAGTTTCAGAAATACATTTTCAAAGCAGTGTTTTCAACAGAATAACATGCCCCTGAGCCTACTGGTGCCGCAAATTGTTAGAAATCGCATCTTATCACCGCTCCACTCAATCCATTATCCCTATATAGTCTCCCCTAGCCATGTCAATACCCCACGCCACTAGATACAGTGAGCTACACTCAGAAAAAGCCACACTCTTATAAACAATGCTAGATTAGGTGTGCCTAGGTGGTGTTTCTATAAACAGAAAAAAGTTCAAATAATTGGCCGGAAAATAATTCATTTTTAGCAATGTTGCGCAGGCCGGATCAAAAGCTTTTGCAGGCCGGGGGTTGAATACCGGGGATCTATAGGCTTATAATTAACTATGATTGTTCTGTGGTACTAAAACTGGCCAAAACCTTAATGATGTTTTACTTACCGACAAACCTAGCACGTAGTTGCCAATGACGTCTTTATCAAGCTAAAATGCGCACAACACAAAGGAAATGGTAACAAAATATTATATCATCAATGACGTTTATTATACAAAGAACCGACATTATGCACCATAGGAAACTGCATATGATTATATACAGAACTATTATTGGTCTATAGTTAACATGTGACTATATCATGGGACCAAATTAATGTCTCCAGATATGGACCCAATGAAGAAAGTACCTATTTGTTAATTTCATATATTACCAACTGAGATATAAACATAAGTATATACATTTACTAAAAACAATATGGATGTTTCAAATGATTAATATTTCTTTCAGAAGATAGCTTGTTTTGTTTAAATTTTATCTAATCAGACTAAATTCGTTATAAATTAACAACCAGCTTTTCATTATGCACTATACAGCGCCAGTAGTATATCGCCCTCTGGAGTGACCCGGTTTTCTGCTTTCTTCCATTGTAGTGCTTTTGTAATTGCTATATAGTTTTGCTAATAAAGTTGAATTGTTATTATACTGTCAATGTTTTAGTTGTCTTCGTGTCCAATTATTACATTTATTACCGCAGGGCTTTAGTACAAAATACCCCAAAACTACACCCTTGCAGACTTGGCAATGAATGTGACCAGGAACTTTGCATTAAGGAATACATTATATTTTTTGTTTTTGTAATTGTACTCTATAGTTTTGGACAGATAGTAGCCCAGGATGGCTTATGTTGCAATACAAATTGAATTCAATTGAAATGAGCCAATAAGAATAAAATTTAAAAAAAATAAATAAATAACTTATACAATACAAACTGCAATATAACTGGTGTTGTGCTGTACTACACCTAATCAAGATTAATGTGTGGTTCAAGATGCATCAGTTACATACATTTTTAAAGTGAATATAGTTATAGAAATGAGATGCCTATTTTAATGGTTACCACATTCACAAGAACGTTTGAATATACTGTCATCTTTATAAAGAATTATTAAAGGCAATGAATAATCAAAACGTACCAATAATCAAATACAATGTTTCCCAATGGAACACTTGGCAAATATTACAGTACATCACATTAAAGTATATTACTTATTCATTCCACTAACAGCGCTATTATTATTTTGTGGGTACAAAAATCATGTAACAGAGCTTACAGTGACTTCCTTCCCCTCATGTACAAAAACATTGGTGCTAAATAATTTACTATTAAATTTAGCATTTACCAAACAAAGGATGAATACTTTGTAAGGAAATAAGTAACAAACACAGCTACAAGTTAGGACGAATGCTGGCAATTATAATAGCAATGTACCATGGTGATGGTATATAAACCATAGCATTACAATAACTACCATGGTATTAGTGAATAATTGAAATGAATACCATGGTGATGGTGTACACCACCACAGGTTCGTGAGCTTTATAAAAAATGCTGTGGTGATGGTGTACATTGGGATGTCAATGAATAATATGATAATGTACAAAAACACATGGTGAGCATTAAAATATATACCATTATGGTGAACATACGGATAGTGAATACCATATATGTGGCATACGTGAATAGCAAGAATGACTGTAAATGAATACCAACATGCTGGTAGTAATTACCAATATTATGGCTTTGGTAAATACGAGAAATGATAAAAACACCGAGTAAGAAATCATTTAACGAATGATGGAAAACATTATATTGATTGTGACATACACAAAACATGAATACATTTAAAGATTATATTAGTTTTTTTTTTGATTGGTCTATTTTTAACTTAGAAGATTCTGATTGGTTTATTTTCACCACTGAGGTTTCTGATTGGTCTATTTTCACCAATGAGGATACTGAATGTTCTTTATTATTGACGATTATGACTGGTTTATTTATTGACTGTTTCATTCAACTTGGCTCCGCCTCATAAAAATATTCTTCCCATTGCATTCATATAACCATTCTTTATTTGAATACTATAGCATTTTGTATCAACATGGTCTTTAATATTGTAGATGATAGCACTAACCATTGCATTTATATGATGGTTAATATAGTATCTACCATCAATATGGCATTCCACATATTGAATATGTAACATGATTACAAAAATCGACTGATAAAGTACACCTTACAATACTTGCAATAAAAATAGTGCATAAAAATCCAGTTAATATCGCATGCTGAGTTCACCAAATATATTTAAAGCTTGGTGAATGTTCCCCCAAACCCCACACCCACCTCCAAAAAAATATTAGAGACCAGTAAACCAATATGAAAACCTGTTAAATATGCTCATGCAATAATGTTAACAGCAAACTAGTAATTTTGCATAGTAGTGTTCCAAAGCAGTGTGCACCTAAAGTTTCTTGACTTTTATACCAAGCAACAAAACACCATAAGCACACAGCAGCAAACTTATATCCTTTGTAAGAGTTATTTATAAAGTAATACACTCTCTCTCATGAGCTAGGACAACTTGCTTTAGAATAGTCTTAAACATCTAATTTTCAATCAGTAACAGAACTGTAGTCAACATTCCTCTAATATAGGCACATATGTTGTATCCTTCCATTTTCAATCTCTGAAAACAGCAGTGTACCAACCATTTTGTCCTTTTATACTGACCATGTAGCCTGTTTTGACTGCCCAATCATGACTTATATTACAGTTAACAGACCCACAGTTCAAAACAACAGAGGAATCAGCATGGCATAGTAATAAGTCGCTGCAATCACCAAATTCCCATTCAATCCAGCAAAAACGATTTATAATTGAAGTACAGAGCACAACTGTTTGACAACAAGCGCAGTGATGGTTACCTCCTACTAGGGGAACCCAACAGAGCATCTCCAGCTTTATCCAAGTCCCATGCATTATCTTCTAAAACTTCCTTACACTTGTGTCGCTCGGTAAAATATGTTAATGAGAGGTGTTCAACCTTTAACCTTTTTATTGCTTCCTCAACATTTCCATCTGAAACTTTTAATGCTTTTTGACATTTTTCAACTGTTATCTGAAAAAACAGAGTGTTACAAACAGTTACAAAACATCCCAAATTTAGGCTTAAGATTTTTTTGCCCTACCTGACATGTTATGTCAATACTAGTGAAAAAAATTTGCAAGTAATTCAGGTCGGAATTGAACCCACAACCTCTAGATAACTAGCTTGGTGTCATGTCACCACTAACCAGACCATGCTATTTCTGAATACAATTTAGGCTTGCATGCACCAAAAACCCACAATAATAATTATCACCACACCTTATCATCACCACCACAAGCAACCAACTACAGTATCAACATCAATGCCCACTCTTATCAAAATAACTATTTCACTACCACACCACACCATCCTCACATAAAAAATTCATTCTCAACACCATAATCATTATCACCAATCCCCCTCATCATCACCACAACCAACCATCAACATCAATGCTCACCCTTATCACAATAACTATTATCATGATCCACTATAATTATCATCACACATCATCAACACCACACATCATCCCCACCAACACACCATCCTCACCACACAGACATCGCATAAAAAGCACCTCTTAACACTATAATTATTATCACCACCCACTATCATCACCAACACAAGCCATCATCACATAAAAACACCCACTCTTAATATTATTATTATCACCATCCACAAAACAATTACTCTTTTTGCCTTGTCCTCATCATTCACTTACTTCTTTAGGAAGTTGTTTCTTCATCATCTGAGCCTCGTCAGTTTTATCCTGCGCGGGATATTTCATGTCCATGTACTCCTTATCTTTGTCCTGGGAAGGTGTTCCTAAGAAAAAAAATAAATAGGAAAACATACAAATTATTTATTAAACAAATTCATATTCGTATAATTATTACCTGGTATATTATTATTCACTGCAGTATCGCTTTAATTTTTAATCTTATTTAATTCCCATCCAACAGTGAGACAAAATTATAGTAAAATGAGGTTGAAGCAGTATTTTAAATTTAGGTTCATGACCTTGAGGTTGGGGTCAAATCCACACAATGCATTTTACTTTGTCCAATTGTGACACACTACCTACAGTACTCTTTCTCCACATAGGAGTTAAGTGGATCAGTCCTGGCTCCAGAATTAGGGGTCCAAACCAAGAGCCGACTAGCGCCTCGGTCAGGGCTTTGGAATAAAAATCACTGGTAGAGTTTTTTTTATGACTTGATATGTCTCAAAATTAAGCTTTTACACCACTAGGGACTGGCAACCATAATAATATTTTTGGTCCAATGACATCGTACAATAGCGGGTCTAAGTATGTCAAACAAGGGAAATTTTGTGCTGGTTCCACCACTGAAGTGGGTACATCGAACTTCATACACCAATGTACTGTTATAAGCTGAAATAGAATTTACCCCAAGGAAGCAAAATATGAGTGTCATATGATGGATAAAAATATGAAGCACAAAGAGGCCACAATTGTTACCATGATGCACTATAAGACTAACATATTATCATTATAATAATTATCATTATTATTATGTTAATTTACCTGTTTTGTAAGTTCTTGACAGTACATCCTCAAGTTTTTCTACCTTCGCCACTGTGCCATCTGTCTGCTGTGAACACTTTGACAAGTCATCAATGCTACCAGACTGTTTCACCACGCAACGTTGTTGGCGGCGTTCTTCAATCAACCTATTTGCCATTGTTATTCTCTCCTCATTAGTAAACGACTTCTGTCTCAATGGTCCATTCGACATTGATAAAAAATCTTTAGCTTCAGGTGGACTCATATCAGTGTATAAATCTTCTTCAATGCGTTCTTTCCTTGGCAGCATTAACTCATAGTGAGTCTCGCGGATAAGTTCTTTTTTCATGGCTCCCTGTTTGGGTGGTGGAGGTGGAGGATCTTCTTTTGGCATATCCGCCAGCATAGAATCCAACGATCTTTGTTTTTTATGACTGATTAACTGACGCGCCATAACTGGTGACATCTTAATGAAGTTTCCCTCAACATCAAGTGACAATGATTTTGGTTTTTCAGGTCGTGGTGGGGGTGGAAGCACAGGCATATCTGTATTACTCTCATTTGAGTTAAGTGGTGTTACTATGGACGGTGTGTGTAGATGATAAACGGTTTGTTTATAATTAACAGAGAGACTTTTACTTCGCTTGCCAAGCCTCTCGGGTAGCTCCGGTGGTGTTGTAATGTCGTCCTCGTAATTTTCCTCTTCTTGGGGTAATTGGGTCATACTCTGGCTAGAGGCTGGGGTAGATCTTCGCTGCCGGAGCTTCTTGAGCGGCCACTGGATTGAAAGTGGCTCACGAGGGGGCAACGGGACTGGGTTCCTTCTACTGTTAGTCTAGGGATAGAGTACGAACACACATACAGACATCATGCGCATCCATGCATAAATTAAATATCTCACCAATGCCCACATATTAGAACAAAAAATAATAATATTTTTTAAGAATGTACAGGAAGCATAGGGATTACAATGTGAATACAATATTATATTTTTTTTAAATTAAAATTATTATAATTAATATTATTATATAAAAATAAACATACTTAAAGCTTCTAGGCTAAGCATTATAATAACACCAAAAGATAAACAAAAAGCGACAATTTTTGCTTAACTCAAATGCATACAAACATATATGGAAGAAATAAACATATTTGACGACACAAAACACATACAAAATTAGAACATGGATAACAAGACAATGAAACATAATGTTTGCAGCATAAATATTTCTTATACATTTATATAAATATGATTAAAAAGTAACATGAGGTTGTAAATATATAAATAAGTATTGATGACCTAAATTATTTTTTTGTTTGTTGCAAAAAGCTTTATAGGTTGCTAATGGGTACATTAAAAATTTATGATATCTGACTATTGAGTAGAAGCAAGGTGATTTGACAAATCATTAGTAATGATTTATTCAGGTGGATAATTATGCAAATGAATATGCAAATTTTATATGAAAATGCATTATAAACAAATAAGCACATGGTGGTTAAAAATATGCAAAGTATAAAAATAGTGAAAATTGTGAATTAGATATTCAAATGAGAAATCATGCATTAGAAATATACAAATGATAATTAAATATGGAAATGAGAATTTCATGCAATGTGGAATTAAATATGTAAATGAGAAATTAATTATGCCAGTAGTAATTAAGTGTAATATATAAAGCATGTGAAAAGTATCATGCACATGAATTTTACACATTCACACACGCACCCACACACACATACGATGACACACAGAGGAAGGGACAGAGGGGAGGAAGACAAAAAAAGCATGAATTAGTAAGTGGTAATTCACATACAGTTGGTAGTCTCTAAACATGTTTTAACAAAACCCAATATCATCTATCTATTCATATTCTAATATTGGGGGAGGGGGATGTCTAATATTTTGCACACCAGACTTTTTGAAACCCAGACACTTCTAAACCCTGTATATAAACATTTAAAAATCATGTTTAACAGTAATTACCTTTAACATTTTTTTTTTTTAATATGGACATTTTGAAACATTGTAATACTGTGTTTCAGAGTTTTATCCATCTGTACTTTTGTACCAGTATGTTCATTCTGGCCATATATTTAACCAGTCAAAGTGTAGATACAGTAAAAAAATAAAAAAAACATGGCACAAAGCTAACATTTGGCAGCAAAAAACTGCAAGTAGTATTTTACGATTTTGGAAAGGAACCGAATGAACAGTTATTAGGTGTATTTCTTATACTAATTCAGAAGTCTATTGCAAGTTGGAGAAGTCTCCCAAAAATTGGAAAGACACTTGAACAAGGACCTCTTGGAAAATAATCCACCTAATACTAACTTATTAGATCCGTATGTTTTTACTAGTCAGTTTCGACTGGTATCGCCATAAGCAACAAAACAAAATTAGATGTGCTAAAATAATGACTTCTTCCAACTTGGGACCCCTGTTTATTTTGCCAAACTGGTAGGAAGTATGAGCAGGACCTGCATCTAAATCACACCAAATGCTGGAAAAATTAGGTCAACTTTCTTGAATCATATTAAAATCGTTAGTTTCATTAAGTCCAAGCTTAAAATATTCAGTTTCAAATGTTTACACAGTTTCTAAATGTCTGTATGAGAGGTTTAAAAATGACGTGGTATTGAAAAGTCTGGGTTGCAAACTGTCTAAAACCAATTCTAAATACCCATTTATGATAAGAATTCACTTTGGAAGGTACATATAACATTTAGTCCCCTAGCCAATCTACAAGAACCATTAGTTACTATATAATAACTTTTAAGTGTATATTGAAAGTAATTAAAAAAAATGTGCAATCAACTAAAAAGAAATAACATTTACAACAATTATTATATTTTATATTTTATTATTTAATAATAATAATAATAATAAGTACATAAAAAAATAAGTATTGGATATATACCCTATTCTAGAAAGAATATTTTTAATTCATAAAATTTATAATTATTTAAATACTACAATTTTCGATAATGATTATTCTATGGCATAACATTAACAGAATTAACAGAAGAAAACCAGATTGCTAACTATAGTGAGACGGTAAATTGTGCCTGTTAATTTTCACCTTCAAAATGGCCCAATGCGAACATGAGCACTATCTTTAGAGGATTGGATTGGTTATATTAGTGTAAGAACACCAAGAACATCCCATGAAAGTTTGAAGACTTTTTCTGTGGGGTTCTTCTGGTGGTGATTGGGAAGTACACTGGGGGACAATCCCTTATGCTTTTTTGGAAGAGTGTACTGCATTTTTGTACAAATGGGACATACTGCATATAACGGTTGAAACTTCTCTTCTGAAAAACGGTGATTTCTTTTTAACTTGCATTTTAGCTGAATCATAAGGAGACCAGTGGATGGAATACAAAACGGGTACCAAATGTTAACAATGGATCACCATAGCTTAACGCACACAGTCGCAACAATCGAATTAGCACACTGAACTATGCAGCCCTGAAGATAGACAAGGGTAGTGTCTTGTTATGTGATATTGTGAAAAAGTATCTTGATAACAAACCAATCGAGTCTAAGGCAAGCCTTTTTTTATACCTTGTTTCGCAAACGTATTGTTTGTCGGAGGAGGGCAGAAAAAAAAATAAAATGTTTTCTTATTTATTTGTAAACAGTGTAGTATTGGGAAGGTTAAATACATTAAATTCAAATAATTAGGAAGAAATGTACATATCTATTTTTGGAGATTTCAAGGTAGCGGCGGGCATAATAAGAATACTGTAATCTTTTTCTTAAATTTCCATTTTTTAGAAGCGGGGAATGTGCTAATTGGCCAAAAGTTAAAATTGTATTTTTATTCCAAATCTAAAAGGGATCGATGTATTTCATCTGTATTTTTTCAATTCCACCAATGTCAAAGAAAACTAAACTGAATTGTACATCCAAAAGTATAAATGTAGAAGTCAAATATTTAAATGTACACACTGAACTAATGGTTACTGCATATGGAATGGCCATTTTGAAGTAAAATAATTCATGAAGCATATAAATTTTTGGATTTGAGTATATTTGAGTTAGCATGTTAGCATTCTTGAATTAACTCTATGACTACAATACAAATAACTAAACATTACAACTATAAAACACGAAATTATGGATTTGGAATAATAGTGTTTCTACAGTTAAGACATAAATTAAGATATATTGATTTTTTTTAAAATGTATTATAACATAAAAAAAAACTTTCTTTAGTACAATTTTAAAAGCATGTTATAATACACCCACCCTCTAACTTTTAATGAAGCTTCACTACACCCAGTCCCTACTTAAGAAACTTGGAATGGAATTTCTACGTACTCAAGTATATAAACCCACACACAACTCAACTGTATTTAAGGGGCTTGGTTTACTATATCTATATTAGTACTCTTTTAAAACAAATTAATATTAAAATGACTTAGATTTAGCCTTTTTGTTATTAAAATTATTTAAAATTATATATTCATAAATTTATTTTCGTTCTAATTCCCTTTTATTATCTAAACTGTTACAACAAAATCTGAAAACACAACACTGAAAAATTTCATTTGGATCAAATATTAAACCAATATATTTCGGACCAAAAAAAAGTAAAAAAAAAAAAAATATACATAGGTTGAACACAATATATAATACAACATAATATAATAGTTACTAAGATGTATATTGGGGTAGCAGTAGCAGAATTGCTATATATCATTTTTTGGGAAGCAAGTTTAACATTATATTTAGAGATTAAAATTAAAATCAATCCAGCTATAAGCAAGGCTTCAATTAGATTACATCACAGCAAATACCATGCAAAAATGTTATTTAGTTTCCAAGGTTACAAGGGGCAGGTTGGCAGAGACATCAATTATTCAACTTAATAATGTAATTAAATATGTTATTATAATTTTTAAGACCTAAATATTTATTAAAAAAAAAAAAAAAACTAATTCAATAAATAAAATTTATTTTTTTTAATTTTAAAAATCTTTTAGTAGTGGTAAATTGAAGAAGTATTAATAAATAAATAAAATAAATAAATAAATAAATTGTCTTTAGATTCAAATTTCATCGAAAATTAGTTTAAACCAAAATAAAAGATAACTATCGCATAATTTTACAATAATAGATATTGTTAAAAACTGACAAAAACATGTCCTACACAAAAACCTCCTAAACAGAAAGATGGAAAAGAGGGAGAGGGTGCGAGAAGAAGGGATGAGATAGAGAAAGAACAAAAAAGTGAAAGATAAGAAGATATTAAGCAACTTAATTTATTCTACGACAAACTGATATGATCTAATTGATTTGTTTTCTATAAATCAAATGTCATGAGTTTGTTTTTGCTGAATGCTGACCTCAATTCTATGAAACGCATTTATTTCAAATTTATGAACACATGCTAAAGCACTGAAGGCATGGATGTTACATTCTTACCTGCTCGTTATCATCCTCTGCTAGTCCCGGAAGAACAATTCCGGTATGGTTAGCAGCCTGAATCTCTGCACCAGTTTCTGTTTGATGCAGTGGAGATTTATTATCACTTTCGCCAAAGCTTCTACGGCGGATTTTCTTCTCTCCGAAAGGCCGACGTGTACGCTTTGGCAAAACTTTGTTCATACTTTCAATCAAGTTCGGACTTAAAACAACACTATCGTCTGTTTCATTTGATTTACTATTAATGTTTATTGTGAGTTTTGGTTTGTCTGTGTCCTCTCGCGGTGTAGGTGGCGGTGATGGTTCGGTTCTGTATCGTTCCTGCAGTTCACGCAGTCTATTTTTACGCATGTTGGAATTCACATCAGGGCTTGTGTCATAACGAGGTGAAGATTCGGCAGATCCACGCTCTGAACTACTTTGACTTCGATCATTTTCTATCGTATTTGACGGCCGGGAAGACTGAGATATTCCGTCTTCGTAGTCATGAATATGCAATGTAGTCCTTGTTCCTGTACCGGTTTTATTTATTTCGACAGTAGCATCACTAACTTTCAGACTTTTGTCGGGTAACATATGTTTAGGTGTTGGGGGTTTTGTGACCATTGATATGTCCAAATCGTCATGGCTTGAATTAAATCTTGATGAGGAATATGAATGGGTTTCATCGCTTTTAATATTAACCTCAAACCCTGCGGAGAATGAATCACCATCAGGTGTTTTATCTACGGAATCAAGTCTTCCGTTTAAGTTACTTGCGTATGGTTCTACAGGAGTAGAGTCAATAGCACCATTTGGTGTCTGTACATCTATGTCACCATTACTTTTCACCGGGCTACGGGAATTTGAATTATTATTACCATTCAATTCTTTAAAATTATTTGCGAATGTTAATGATTTAAACTGTGCATCAATAGACTGAGAGTGAGAATGTTCGGTGGTCCCATTTGTTTGTTCATCATTTTCCTCATCTTCCGCCTTTTCCTCGTCCTCTTCTATAATTGTTGATCGGCTTGTCTCCTCCCATGCACTCATCATATCATCCAGAAGAGATGAGCCAAAATCAAAATCCTGGAAATAAATTAAGAAACAAATATGTATAAATCAAAACTCAGTCAATTTTGAATAAATAGTTATCTAGCGGAAAACATACACACATAAATCATTTTATTTATAATTTGTGACTGGAGCCTGCCCACCAGCATTGCAACATCGATGGAATTAACTTTGGTGCATCCTTGTCTCCACAATTTTTAGATCATCATTTAACACCCAAATAAAAAAAAAAACCTTGAAATTAGAAGAAAAATTATAAAATGAATCCTGACTGCAAGGATATTGAATTGACACAATAATTTACAAGAAAATTATAAGTAAGCGGAGGGGGAGGGGGAGAAGAAACAGGCCCAGGCATACTGTGGAAGTTGATAAAATGCCAAGAATTGGACATCTTCAGCACACTGTTTAAAGTGCTCAGTTTGCCCCTGAAACATTGTAGGTGATTTAGTTTTGTTTCTAAGTAATTTAAGTTCTTCTAATTGTTACGAGTTTCGAAAAAAACTGAAGAAATGCAAGTATGGTATTAAAGGAAATAAGAATAATCAAAATGGGAAAAAAGAAATAGTAAAAACATTAAGACTGTAAGGATAAAAAGTTTAAGACACCACTTGATATTGAGAGTTACAACAAATTAGATTGAGATGCAACAAAATTTACACAATTGAGAGACAAACATTGTTATTTCAAAATGCATTACAACAATGAATGCTTAAATTATGCAAATAAGAGATTATACATTATAATATTAGTTCTGTTTAACGGACATTAAAAGCAACAAAAATTAAAAAAACAAAAAAAACAAAAAAGAAATGAAATGCAGTTGCTTAACAGGAATTGTACAAGATGATTCCCCTGTTTCATCATCGGTATTCCTTGCTGCATTTTATGGTTTTGATACTGCATCTAGCTGGCTAAAGACGGAGCCAATTACAGAGATAATCTTTAAAATACTATAATACCATATTTTACTGGCTTTTAAATGTTCATAAAAATCTTATTTCCCTACTTTTAAAAATTGCAATCATTCATACTAACATTTGGAATGTTATTTCACGTGATCCGCACATAGGATGAACATGATACAAAAGTCAAGAATTTGTGTTGCGCGTATAAGACGACCCCCTGTTTTTTTATAGTAATATGCTATATTTTTTAAGCCTTGTTTATACGTGAAAATACTGTATATGGTAGCTAGTTTATATGATTTACTAAAGGTTTAAATGCATCATTCCACATTACAATACATTTAGAATTACCATAATTAAATTGCAAAGAAAAGCATGTGCATAAATAAATTATGCAAATGAGTAAACATATGGACATTTTAAATATGCAAATTTACAACAGTTGTTAGTAATACCATGCATTGAGAAATTCACCATTAATTCTACACAAATATTTCAGTTAAGATTAAATATTATTTTGAATGTTGTCTACATGTGAATGTTAGACATCCAAATGAGCATGCAAATAAGCCAGTGAGTATTACCCCAGCACTTACCAATCCAAGCTGTTAGCACATCCCATGTGTATGATTTTAAAAGCAAGAAATATAAAATGATTATATATATGTACAGATTGACATTCGATGAATGATTTAAATATTTTTACACTTAACTGACAATTCATTATTTTATTTTCATACTTTGTGATGTAGATAAATTTAATCATTATTAATATTATAAATATATAAGTAGCACTCTTTGAATATATTACTGTAGTTTCATTAGCCAATATTTAAACATACCAAGGGATAATTATTGAGGAATATCAGTTTTTCCTTTAATGATGTTAGTGGTTAACTTTATTCAATTAAAATTACAATAAAAGTTAATGTGCGCCCTGAAGCTGTATATTAAAGAACCGAAACTGAGAACATCATCCCCGAATCTATAAACTATGAAGCTTACCGTTAAACCTTCATCAGATAAAAGACTATCACCAATTGTTGAGCTTTCTGTCTTTCCATCACTGCCACTATAACTGTATCCAGCACTTTCAGGTGGTGAAACGTGAATATCAACATCTGCAGTGACGCCGCTATCCTCATGCGAATGATCCGAAATCCCAGAGCTTGCATATGAGATCCCCGTCAAACTCTGTCCACTTGTGTCCGAGAATTCTGTGCGCATGCTAACATCGGGATGATCGGAAGAGTGTGGTGAATTAAGTTTCATGTTATCAACCGAGCTAGCTGCAGATGAAGGGTGGGCGATGTCTATAACGTCGGGGCGACGGAGTGGCGGGATCGGAGTGTCTGATCCAAAATCTGAGCCAGACTTAATGCTGGTTGTATCCAGCTGACTGTTCTGAATTGGTAGTAGATGGCTGCAAGCAAAATTATTTAAACATTTGTCAATCCTGAATGTTAATAATATTTAGCAACAAGTGCTGGAATTGGAGAATTTAAGATCAAGATACTGCATACAGCTTTTATATAATCACAGTAAATCACAGAATAGATGGCCAAGGATGTTTCCATTTTTAACAACCAAAAAGATGATCAAAAGCTTAACTTACTATTTTGAATCTAGGAAAGCCATATCCCCAAAGACGTCGCCCTCTCCCACTCCAATGTGGACACGATGCTCAAAGTCATCTTGCGGTAGGCTGATGTCCTCAACTCTTAGACTTCGACTGTAAGAATGTTGTAATTGTGTTTATTAATTGGATTGGACACAGTAAAATAAAAAGTATTACTAATAAAGGACAAAATAAAACAATAGTATCAATATGTGGCAAAGACAAGCCAAACCAGTCACTCGTCGCAAATCCTGTTTCAGAGGTAATGGCCAAAACATGCTGGAATGTCAAAATCTTTGAAATCTATTATATTACACTAAACTAACATTTACATATCATGCTATGCTATTATTTTCCCCAATTGCAATGTTAAAACTTCAATTTTCAACAATTTACTGATGGTTTCTGCCTAAGAAATTCCCAAAATCATAAACTTTGGAGGCTGATTTTTCAAATATTGTTTAGACAGCTGTATGTTAAAATCCTTCATAATGAAATGTCCAATTTTAATGATTCTTTAACCATTTCATAGCTCTCATTTTACTGTCTAACCCTGTACTAATAATTAATAATCAATTTTTGCAACGAGTGACTGGTTTGTCTTGTCTTGCCACATATACTATTATGAAACAAAACTTTTTATTAACCTTTCATGACCTTTTACTATTCTATTGACCACTACAATAACTATTATTACTAGAGACACTTTGATTTGATATTATAACGTTTTGAAACAAAAGAATTCCAACAATTTTAAGCCGATAATTATCTGAAGCTACATGTAATTTTTAGGAATGATAACCTTTCTCAAAGTGCAAGCTAATTGAGTCATAGAACTAGAAAGTTCTTTCATTAATTATTTTTGAATATTGTAGCATTTTTTTTATACTTACTCTCTCTGTGTTTTTAAATATGTTAATCCTGATGATGACTAAAGTCGAAATGCTGAGTTAGTATGGCTTCATTTTCTCTATTTGGAGTCACTTTTGTTTTAATTTATTTGAACATAATCAGTGTACCGTTTGGTTCAAGCCAGATTTCAAAAACATCAGAAACATAATATCTATTTTATTTTATTTTTCTCAATTCAGATTAATCTTACCTCCTCCTTTTCTTCTGTGCTCCTTTACCAGTGTGACGTCGTTGAACTTTGGCCTTTGGTGTATCGTGAGTTTTTGTCTCTACCGTAGTCATGTTAACTGGATGGAAAAGCCCAACCTTTCCACTGCGATTTAACACACCTTTCCAGTAGCCAATCACATGCGACCTAGAGCCAGAGTAAAAAAAAAATTTGTAGAAATATTTTCAAGTCAGTTATAACGTGGTCCTAGGCGTTGGAAGAATTGATGTGCCACTCGAAAACTAGAGGAAAATAGAGCATGCTAAAGTCTGAATGAGTACACAGTAAATTGAAAAAATTGAAAGAGGTGGAAGGTAAAGGAAATGGCATAAATTAAGTGTATTCTTTGAGAAAACAAGTGCTGAAATTTAACATGCTCCAGAACACCAAGTTGAGAGCTTATGAATTGATCATTTCAAATCTATTGGCAGTACTCAAATTGATTACAATCTAGTAGCTCTACAGCTAATGATCCAGTCCTATGGATGATGTAACATAGTGACTTACTGTTTCTTCAAAACTGATATTATATCGCCAGCATTGTATGAAAGCTGTTCTGGTTTGTCTGCAGAGAACTCTGATACAGCCTGAAACTGCATTGGACGAGCTTTGATGAGATCCTCGCCAACTTGCGAGAATGTGGGACGTTTGTGGGGTTCATGATCCCAGCACCTCATCATCAAATCGTAAATTTCTGGTGAACAACAGTCTGGAATCTCAAGTCGCTGGTAGTTTGGTTTATCAATTGCTTCTAAAATCTAGAAAACGAAACAAATTGTAAGAATTATAAAATTTAAAATTTAAAAATGTGATATATACTTCATATTTTTCAAGTTATTTTGATTCTCAAAGAATTTCATCTGGTTCAAGATTATTTTTTTTTTTTTGTCGTGTTAGAGACTCACAGATGCATGAATGACCTAATTCAATCAAGGGTTCATTAGCCTGAGGAAAGTGAGTGAAAAAGTTGCTGAAACCATTACTAAGGTAAGCAACTTAATGGTTCAACAAAACAGATAATCTTTTCTAATAGTTATGTTAAATCTAGAAATTTATTTAATATGGAAGTTTATGAAAGTGGTGTGGCTTACACAGAGCTGCATTATTTGCCTATTCATTTAGAACTAGAGCAAAGTCAGATTCAGTAAAGTTAACCAATTAAGTAGACCCTTGTTGCTCTATAGGGTATAATACCATGTAATACACTATCGTTGCAAAATGCGTTCAACCAGACACCATTTTCTCCACTGACAAACCATTGATCCCAATTTCTAAATTAATTATTAAGATATTGTATCTATTATAACTAACATAATGCGAGCTTTTGTGCTTTTAGTACATTTTGATGGTAAAATATTAGATTTTGAAATGCCTATTCCAGAAAGCCTATGAAGTCATTCAGGCGTAATGAACGGTAACCAACATCTGGTTGGCAACAGAGGGCGCCACCTGGCGTTGTGACGACACAACTGTGGTACTCTATGACTAAATATCTTAATGAGGTTGGGAGAGAGGGAATTTGTCTCGTTTTTATTTTGCCTTTAGGAGAGAAGCTGCTTTTTGCTGAGTGAAGAATCTTATCATTTTAACCAGGATTGAACCCAGGACAAGATGTGCATTATAATCTCCAAGCCACAGTTTCACTTCAAATATATATGCAGACAACCTTCCAACACATTAGGAATATGGACCAATATCTTTAACCTACACAAAAGTAAAATTTGTAGTACTGTATTATCAACTGCTATGATGACCTCTCCAAAACCTATGGCAGAATGGGTAGCTCAAACATGAAGAGACCCTTGGGGAGAAGCAAGTTCCACACCTCGAG